TTATACTTTATATGTCCTTATTGTTGTCAAGACAGTGTCTGTCTTGAGCACCTGATCTGTTGACTGAATCAGTTCACGAAACCATGAGAGGAAGAAACAGATTTTTGGTTGTTTTTTTCCTCAGAGAAGCTTTTGCTTTGTACATCCCACTGTTGTTGCCACAGGACAGAGGATGGATAAGAAAAACCGCAAAAGCCTTGTGGAGTTTGATATCTTCTGGACAGTAATTGGGAGGTAATAAAAGCCCATGTTTCAAGAAACCTTTAACTTCTGCAGACCCGAAAGCCGAGGTTGGTTTTCCTTTAACAACCTGAGGAAATTATTAGCTGGACCAAAAAATCAGGAAGACCATTGAGTCTGAAGAAAAGGTCACTGCCTTGTTTTGTGAGGTTATGGGGAGTAATGTAGCAGGACAGAGTTTTTGAAATAGCTTTGGCAAAACTCGGCAAGAGATGAGGATGACATGGGACAATAGTCTCTAACCTATTGATTTCAGCCACCCCCTCCTGTTTCTAAACAAATGGATTAAGAGGAATTAATCTTGGTGTCTCTAACAGTTTCATCTGCAAATAGTACCTACCCTTACCTGCTTGGAACAGAGAAGTATAATAAAAGTAAGGGCAAACAGAGGACCATCTTCCTCCTCCACTTTCAACCAATACATGTCTCATTTAGGTCTATAGAATATTTGTGCCTTGCCTGATCAGGGAGATTCAGAGTGCTTCACTTTGGTTGGAACATGCCCATACTTAGCATATATCTGTTTATCTAGACATCAGTTTTGGAGATGCTGTTTTCCTACCAGAGGCAATGCAAGTGGTGCGGTCGCATCAGGTGCACAGCCGAGGGGGGTGCCTTCTCAAAGCCCATTAAGCACCTGCCTGGTTTGGGGAAAGAGTTGTGAAGGCTCTGATAGGGTCCTAGAGTCCTCCTTTCCAAAGCTGGACAAGTACTTACTGGGCTTTGGGGAGGAGGTAGGAGGGCTCTAGGATCCTGCCAGAGCTTTGTGCCTCCTTCCTGAAGCTTCACTGAAGATGGTGCCATGTGGGCTGGATGGGGGGAGCATCAAACAGCCTCATGAAGAGTGGTGTATTGCCAAGGTCAGCCCCTGTTCCTACTCCCTCCAGCTCTGAGCCTTTTGTAGGCATGGAAAAAAGGAGAAAGGGCTCCCTAAAATCTGAATGCCCCCCATTTCCCCCATAAATTTCCCTCCTCCCCCAGGATCTGTAGTTTGGCCCCTGGTGAGTCATATTGTTTCAGTCTAGAGTGATGGAACTAGAGAGCCTGATGTGTCCTGGATATAGGGTACAGGCCCTCCAGGTGTCCCTATTTTCCAAGGACATCCCTGATTTAGAGAAGCCTTCCCGGTTTCTGATTTCATCCCGGAATGTCCTGCTTTTCCTTAGGATGTCCCTACTTTCATGGGAGAAATGTTGGAGGGTATGGTACAGCAACAGTGACACTGGCAAGTGGTGCAGTAGTGGTGATTGTTGCACGGGTGGTGATGGTGGTGTGGCAAAGCAGAATGGCACTTCCTGTTTTGCCTCAAGTGGCAAAATGGAACTTACCACCCCTGATCTCAGGATTCCAGAATTTGCAGCTGTCAGTTCTGAGGGAAGGCAGGCAAGGACCCACAGCCCAGGTGGGGCTCACTAGATGGGGGGGGAGGTGTGTGATTCCTCAGCTAGAGTAGGATCAGGACAGGTGGGGGTCACATGCCTCATCAAGCCCAGAAGGTATAACAGGAAAGCCATCCTGACTAGGACATAGCTCTCCTGACAGATGATTTGGTCTGGAGCCACAGTGTGGAAATAAAGGATGAGATTGCCCCTTCTACTCCACCCGGGGTTTCCATTGTGGTGCGCCCAGCCCCCACTCACACTACTCCTGGAATTATCTGACCCCCGAGCCGTCTGAAGGTAATCCTGTATAGGGAAGCTTTTTTAATGTTTAATGTTTATCATGTTTTTATATATGTTGGAAGCCACCCAGAGTGACTGGGACAACCCAGTAAGATGCGTGGGTAAAATAATCAGTATGGAATGGGACGTCCCCATTTTCATCAGAGAAATGTTGGAGGGTATGAGGGTATGAAAGCGGCCTGTTTGTCATCTTCATTCAGTATTTGGATGCGTACGCTGGCTTGGTCATGTCCGCAGAATGGAAGCTGGCAGGATCCCCAATGACTTGCCCTATGGGTTGCTGGCTTCAGGCTCTGGGCCCTTTGGCCAACTCTGCATTGACAAAGATGTCTGCAAACATGACACAAAGGCTGGCAACATCGACCCTGCCATGTGGGAATCCCTTGCAGATGACCACAGTGCTTGGAGACAGACAGTCGTGTTTCCACAGCAGTGACCAGAGGAGGAATGACCGCTAGGAAAAGCACAGAGAGAAGAAATGCCATGGTGCATCTGCAGCAGCACAACTGGATACCTTCATCAGCCCTAAGTCTCTACAGCCATGGCAAATTCTGTAACTCTCCAATGGTTTGATTTCACCCCAAAGGCACACTCCTTCATTGTCTCATGAGACAGACAGATGCCAACGACAATGATAACAACTGCCCTGTATTTCGAGGTTTTTTTTAGCTGTAACAGGAGCTTCGCTTCATCTCATGCATCTAGTACTAGTCAAATATGTTTCATTCCTTCCACTGTAAAACAGCTGTCTAACCACTAATGCACTTCTACATTGGTCATCAGCAAATGTACTTTGTTTGAGTTCACCAGCTAGCTGGCATAAAAAACATTATTTTTAATTTAACTGTATATCCAGCTTTCAGTAAACACCTTCTAACTTTTAAACTTCCTTTTAACCAGCTATGTTTTGATATTTAAGTGGCATATAATTATCATATTAAGCCACAGTGCTATTAAATCCAAGGGAGTAATTTTGAATCTAATTAGACAAAACCTACTCCTGTTTATAGTGGGCATTAATTTCCCTCCTTCAGTGGAAGTTGATATGTTGTTCCAAATTTGCTGGAATGTAGCATTAATTGCCATTTCTGTAGTACACTTCATCTAAGGATCTTGCATTATTTTTAGAAATCCTTTTTGTGGGCTGCAAAGTTCGTGCAGCTATAGCCTTTCTATAAAGAGCCACAGTTACTTTGTGACAGGCAATAATACTCTTGTTTTCTGTTGTTTAACGACAGTGCCCTGTTGGTTTAAAACATTTGGCAGCAACAACAAAACAAAGAACTGTGTTATTGGGTCAGACAAACAATGTGTCTTGTCTAGCATCCCTGCAGAGCAATTCAGGACTAGTTATCCAGTTGGTATATCCAAGTGGAAAGGCTTTTTCGAGATGGTTGCAAGTGTGTTTTGGTGGGTGAAGAGATTACTGTGAGAGTATATGGCTCCATCTTTACCCTGTATTTACGGAGTAGCATACCACTTTACACAGTTATGGCTCCCCCCAAAGAATCATGGGAAGTGTAGTTTGTTATCAATGCTAAGTCCTCTACAGTGGTACCTTGGGTTATGAACACTTCGGGTTACAGACTCTGCTATCCCAGAAGTAGTACCTCAGGTTAAGAACTTTACCTCAGGTTGAGAACAGAAATCGTGCTAACGTGGTACCTCAGGATAAGAATGGTTTCAGGTTGAGAACAGACCTCCAGAACGAATTCAGTATGTAACCAGAGGTACCACTGTATTCCCCTCAGAGACATACAATTTCCATAGTTCCCTGGCATTGATTGTTAAACTACTCTTTGAACTGTAGTTCTGTGAGGGGAATAGGAGTCTCCTAGAAATTCTCAGCACCCTTGACAAACGTCACTTCCCAGGATACTTTGGAGAATCCAGGACAATATATGTATGTATGTATGTATGTATGTATGTATGTATGTATTAAATTTCTATGCCATCGGAGGATCACAGGGCAGTTGTATGCGGTATGATACTGCTTTAAATGTATAGTGCAGATGGGGGCCTGTGATATAGCAATTGCCTGCCTCTGCAATATCATATCCTCCCCACAGAGTTCTGTTCCTCACCACAGTTCTCTTTAGGCTGCTTGGAGGGGCGGGAGTTTCTTCCAGAGGGAATCCCCACCCCCCAGATCTTTTGGACCTTGGGATTCCCCCAGACCTGCTGAACTCTCTCTCTCTCTCTCTCTCTCTCTCTCTCTCTCTCTCTCTCTCTCTCACACACACACACACACACACACACAAATGGGTGGTGCCTTTTTTTGCTCTATACACAACAGCACATAGAAAGCACAGTGGAAACAGAAGGAACGATCTGTAAAAAAATTATCTCTTGAGGGCATAAATAGGGATTAAATAATTAAACATTGATATTGTGCCTGGTAACTGTGGTGATATTCTTCTGCATCTCAGACACTGCCCCCACCTGCGCACGTATACCCTCTCTTACACACACACAAAGACCTGACTGTTCTCTTGGTTTCCTACATTCATTTTTGAAGTTTCAGACATTGTGTGGATGTGGAGGGGGTGGGGGAATGAGAAAAGAAAAGGCTTATCCTATTAGTGGAAAGAAATGTTACGCAACTCCTATTTTCTTCTGTAAAGCAGAGCTCTGTAAGATTGTCAGTTTAATATGGTCTTAATTCAAAAGAGGATCATTTCTTAGTGTCATACCCATTGTCTGATCAAGGATTAATATTGGCTTCTGCTCAGTTGTAGTGATACGTTAAATCACCTTTCGGTTAATTAGAAAACTGATGGAGATGTATAGATTCTTAATTAAAGAATAATAGAATTTGGGTTCGGCTCTGTTTCAGTTGTTTAATTTAGACTGTAGATTTATAGACCTTGCAGTGCACTTCCAACAATAGAGATGCATTTCAGTAGACAGAGACATTTTTGAAAACTAATAGCTTTACTAGCAGGGGAGTCTGTTGTCATTGTTGCCAAATGGAACGTTCACATCAGGGCAAAACTTTGGAAAATGGAATCCAGTGGCATTGCAGATCTGGCTGGGGTGCTGGTTCAGATATCTTACTCTGGTGGCAATACTATAGGGGAAGGATGTAGCTCAGTGGTAGAACATTGGCCTTGCACTCAGAAGGTACCAAGTTCAATTCAATCCTTGCTGTCTTCAAGTGGGGTTGGGGAAAAGGTTCCTGCCTGAAACCCCAGAGACCTTGTTTCTGTCATTGGAGATTTGCCAGCTCAAAGGAGAATCCTGCCCCAGTAGGTACGGTTCTTCCAAAAAAAACTCTAGAATCAATCCAAAGATTCCTATGGACATAGGAATGGGATGCCTAGCAAGTTCAGGTGTTCAGCTGTAGGATCAAATATGAAGGTTGTGGTTAAAACACCATAAAAACATCATAAAAATGGAACTGATGAATTGGCTCTTACTCCAATGGCTTCATTAGGACCCCTAAATGTTACATTCTTTTCCTTTCTGGTGTGATGGAGTAGAAAGGAGCCATGAAACTCTGGGAGTTTTTCTTTTCTTTTTTTCTGAGCAGGAGCTGTCTATTGCATGCCAAGACCCTGTGACCCGGCAGTTCCCCAGGGAGTGAATAACTAGACAAGACAACAGCATATTAGGTTGATGGGATCATAGGTACTTGCTCTGCTCTGTTATCTCCTGCTTGGACTACTGCAATGCATTCTATGTGGGGCTACCTTTGAAGGTGACTCACAAACTACAGTTAATCCAGAATGCGGCTGCCAGACCTGTGATGCCAGGACCATATTACACCAGTCCTAAATGATCTCTGGTTCCCAGTATGTTTCCAAGCACAACCCAAAGTGTTGGTGCTAACCTTTAAAACCCTAAACAGCCTCGGCTCAGTATACCTGAAGGAGCGTCTCCATCCCCATCGCTCAGCCCTGAGAGTTCCAGCTCTGAGGGCCTTCTGGCAGTTCCCTCACTGAGAGAAGTGAAGTTACAGGGAAGCAGGTTTTTGATGGTCGCACCCACCCTGTGGAACACCCTCCTGGCAGACTATATAGCTTTTCGTAGACATCTGTTTGGGAAGGTTTTAATGCTTGAGGTGCCCTCCTCTTTCCCTCTGCATTTTGAAGAGTGGCTCGGGCAACCCATTCAGGTGGGCAGGATATAAGAATTATTATTATTACTATTATTACTATTATTACTATTACTATTATTATTATTAATTGCTGATGGGAGTGAGGGTTCTGCAATATCTGCAGGTCCATAGCTTAGCCGCCCCTAGTTTAAAAGGCAAGGTATAAGTGAAAGTAAGTAAATGGGAGGGAGGAATATGTCCTTGATAGTTATTGCAGGCCAAGGTAGAAAGGTACCCAAAAACGTTGGGTACAATTTTCTAAGATGCATCCTACAAGGCACAGCCTTGATTTGCTATATTGAGCTATTTGGTTTGCTGGAAAGAAAAGCAAGCTTTTTAAAAAAATAGTAAAGCGATTGTACATTACGAGGCAAAGAATACCTTTTGATTAGGTTAAGACGACATGCTCTCTCCTCCTGCTTCTTCACCCTTGATTGCTTTTATACAGCCTGGCTGCTTTTGCTCTATTTTTGTGTACCAGCTTACCATTCATAAGACATGGCCCTGTATGGGGTCAGAGAGAGGACTGGTCCATCTCTCTCGGTTTTGCAGACACTGACCACAGCAACCTCACCAAGAGTTTCAAATGAGAGACTTTCCCAGACTTACTGGGAGATCCCAATGACAGGTCCATGGACCCTCTGCACTCAAAACATGTGCTCTATCACTGAGGCATGGTCTTCCAAATTATCTGTCAGAAATTTTGACCTGAGTCTGTGCAGGTGGGTCTTTCATCTTTGGCCTCCTCAATGCTTCTGGCGCATGAATTGTGCATTTTGATTTTGTTTTTTCCCCCTCCCGATAGAGCAGATTTTTCTTCTGAGGGCTTCAATAAGTTTCGTGTCACTAGGTCTGTATGAGAACAAGAGCTGCCTGACATGCTTATTAAACTGCAAAGTAATGAAAAAGGCACGTGGCATAATGGGAAAAAAAGAGTGACCCAGTTTTTTGGCTGGCGGGTGAGAAGTACAAACACAGACCAGGACTTTTAAGCGATGGCAGAACCCCTTGGTTAGGGGCAGCTGAGGGGAGAAAAGAATCTGGCTGCTTTCAGTAGGCCTGCTTAGTGGAGCCAGTTTGGAAGTAATGGGGCAATAGTCTTTATGGCATTTTAGGAACCTAGGAACTTGCCTTGCACTGGGTCACCACCCTTTTTAGGCCATTTGGATTTTTATGTGAGTACTATGAGTACCATCCTATTTGGATGCTTCCAGCTGAATTAATCTGAGCCTTGAAAAGTACATATAGGAAGAGGAAGTGGGAAAGTTCGTCCACCTTTCTCCTCCAGCTTTATGTACTTGTTGAGGGAGGAAAAAGTTGCCACCTTCAACACCTCATGACCAAGGGGGCAGGGGAGGAGCCCAGTGGCTTTATGGGCAGCAGGAAACACCTCAAAGGCATCATGTTGGCAACCCCTGGCTAAACTGACTGGCAGCAGCTCTCAAGAGTGTCAGGCAGGTCTTACCAAGCCCTACTTGGCATTTCTGGGGATTGAGCCTGGGACTGTCTTCATGCATCACAGACGTTCTACCACTGAGCTACAAGCTATGTCTGAAGCTACGTTGCACCTCTGTGTAGGTTTTAACAGTAGACAATTTTGGCCAAGTGAAAAGGAGATGCCATTTGAAGCCAGAGGCCAGAGGCGGATCAGCTGTTAAAGGAATGTATGGAGATGTTATGACCAGGATGGGGCAGGGGGAAGCCAATCAGGGAAAATAAGAAAAGAGCTATGTAGATTTTGGGAGGGATACCTTCCTGTGTGGCATGGTAGGAGATGCTCTGAGGATCTCTGAGCATCTCTGAGGAGATTTAGTAAGTCCTGAATGGACGTTAGCAAATCTTTAAAACAAGCATTCCTCTCCATGTGATTTATGATTGTGTTGGTGGCACGAAGCAAGGCTGCTGGTACGGTTGTGTTTCCTGTTGGCTTTGTTCCGCCACTGTCCACATATGGGGTTTTTGGGGGGGGGCGGGGAAGGGATGTTTGGAAATATCTATAAAGTAAAGTGTGCTGTATGCATTTATGCTCAGCAGACTTTCCTTTATGGATACTCCCCCCCAACACGTGGACAGGGTGAGAGGGTGGAGCTAGGAGGCAGAGCCCCAGTCTCCCATCTGGGGATGGGGAATGCTACAAAAAGGTGAAGGAAGAAGCCTGATTTCTGCATATGAAGAGTGAAGTATTACTTGAGGGAGGGACGCGGGTGGCACTGTGGGTTAAACCACAGAGCCTAGGACTTGCCGATCAGAAGGTTGGCAGTTTGAATCCCTGCGACGGGGTGAGCTCCCGTTGCTCAGTCCCTGCTCCTGCCAACCTAGCAGTTCGAAAGCACGTCAAAGTGCAAGTAGATAAATAGGTACCGCTCCGGCGGGAAGGTAAATGGTGTTTCCGTGCGCTGCTCTGGTTCGCCAGAAGCGGCTGTGGACAAACGCCAGCTCCCTCAGCCTGAAAGTGAGATGAGCGCCGCAACCCCAGAGTCGTCTGCGACTGGACCTAACAGTCAGGGGTCCCTTTACCTTTTTACATGGTCATCAGCCAGGATGCTAATTTCTTGCCTCCTTTTGTCTCATTGGTTTGTGTACGTTTTCCAGAGTTACAAAAGTACCCTTGGCATTCTGAGTTTGCTCCAAATTTCCCCCGGATTTGGGGAGACTGGCTTCTTGAATTTTGCACATCATGCAGAACAAGTCAATGGAATCTGCACCTGTACCACTTCAGACTGCAAATGGGGTGCTACTTTTTAAATGCTCCCTCACATAAAAGAAGTCCCCATCCCTAGCTTGAAGTTGAAGAGAGAAGCTCAACACAGCCCCTTTTCTGATACAATTGGCTTATTCTGTAAATAAAGCTTTTGATATTACCCTTCCCCCTCTGCCCACCCACAGTCTGAAGTGGTACGTTCCAGGATTCTGTCATGTCAGTCTTATCACTGCATCTTGCATAATGTGTAAACTGGAGTGGCTCTTATTTAGTATTATGCGATGTTCTCTAGACCTGAAAGCCCAAACTGTGTGCAGCAGCTCAGACTGGCTGTGCTTGTCACAGATGTCTGCTTGCTGATAGATGAAAGATTTAGAATTTTAACTTTGAACTAAGAGAGGGGGATTGAGGGGGAGACCTCAACACTTCTATTCTCAATTTCATTCATGCAGGAAACAGGCAAACAGGAAGTATCTTCCCTAAGTCTCAGACTTTGCCATTTTTATTTATTTAATGATTAATCTGTGAAGCAGAGCAAAATAAATCAGAATTTCATTCCCAGCAGGACTGAGCTAAAAGTTTGTGCTCATAAATGTGTATTACAGTAATCTATAAATCGCATTTTCATACTCTGCTTTTTCTGCATTTTACTAATTTGCATGTCTGCTTTCTTGTATGCATCTGTTTCAGTTTGTTTGCCTAATTATATTTCTGCTTTACACTTTCTCCAAGGAGCTCAGGGTGGCAGATATGGTATTCTATATATATTTTTAAAAACCCACCTGCACTTCTTGTCTCATCAGGCTTTTGCACTGGATCACATCAGATAACAATCAGTATAATTAAAAACAGAAGAAAAATTAGATCAGACATCCTCAAGGACTTAAGCCAGTCCTACGGTGGGTACCATGTGCATACAGGAAGGAATTGCCATATTTTTTGTTCTATAAGACTCACTTTTTCCCTCCTAAAAAGTAAGGGGAAATGTGTGTGCGTCTTATGGAGTGAATGCAGGCTGCGCAGCTATCCCAGAAGCCAGAACAGCAAGAGGGATTGCTGCTTTCACTGCACAGCGATCCCTCTTGCTGTTCTGACTTCTGAGATTCAGAATATTTTTTTTCTTGTTTTCCTCCTTCAAAAACTAGGTGTGTCTTGTGGTCTGGTGCGTCTTACAGAGTGAAAAATATGGTATGTTAGGGTGGGTGGTCAATGCAGTATCCTCCATATGTTGTTGGGCTCAACCCCCATTTGACCCAGCCAACATGAATGATGGTTAGGGATGGACTCTCTTCTGAAATATGAGAGGCCCCATCTGTATTGGCATCCCACTGGCTTTCGAATACGTACCTGTTTATA